TTGTAAAATTTTGGAGTACTTTGTGCCCTTCTTAGTTTATGGTGGTGGTAGCATTTGACATGATTCACTTATGGGAGATTGTGTGGGGTATTATATGGCGGAATTGTAGAATTAATAGTGGTGTGAGGGCAATAGTGGAGGTTGTCAACTTTGGGCACCTTACTAATTGGGTATACTGGCATTGATTGACAAAAGGAAACTATTTGGTGCCATCAGGTGGCGAAGTCTGAGTACCCATCCGACTGGAACATGTTAGGCTGCATCTGATTGTTACCCTGAATTGTCTACAGGTAATATGACCCGAAAAACGTGAAAGAGCTCGGCAAGCACTTCCCAAATGCCAATATATGGTGCCACCAGGTTCCAGTCACAGGAGGCAGAGGACGCGTTTCATGCTAAAGTCACCAAAAGCTTTATCCCTGAGATTCCTGTTGACAGGGTTGCCCTCCGTATGGAAAAAGAAGACATGTATGAGTAAATCAGACGGAGGGAGATGGAGTTCTTGTTTGATGAACCTGAGACGGCAAACCCAATAATAGTCCGGGAGTTCTATGCGAACTGCCCGAAAAATTTGTGTCGGTCTGTGATTGTGCGGGGCAGGGTGGTAGATGCCTCAATTCTGAAGATTCGCTAGGTCTTGCAGTTGCCCCAGTTCACTGGTGACATTGATCATTACCACGACGCCCAAGGGGTCACTTGGGACACTATGATTGAGACAATCTGCGCAGGGGGTCGACCAATCAGGCTACAGGAAAACATTACCCTTCACTCCAAGTCGTTCACACATGGGGCTAAGTGCTAGTTTACCATTATTTGTAGTTGGTTATTGTCCATGGGAAACACGACAGATGTGAACCACCTACGGGCTCTATTGGTATGGTGCTTCATCACCAAGAAAGATTTTGATGTGGCGAGAATTATTGGAGATGAAATGATCCTTCGGTCCCCTCTGCTATCTAAGGGGTTTTACTTCCCCTCACTTGTGACGAGGTTGTGTCTGCTAGATGGTGTCCCCACCTATCCTACAGATGGAGCTTTGCCCGCAAAAGCGGTATTTAGAGCTTCAAAGATTACAGTGGGCAGAGATGCACCCACAACCATTGAGCTTAATGATGAGGATGACGCCCCAGTACCCATGGCACCATCCAGGAGATCCTATGATGGAGCCGGATCCTCTCGGCGACCCCATACTGGGGCAGGGTTCTCTAGATCACAGTCCAGCCAACCCATGTTTCATTCTTTAGAGGAAGAGGTGGCAGATCTTCGCTCCTCGGTGGATGGCCTGCATGTGCGTATGGATGCCATGTCTCAGCGGCAGGCTAGGTCTGAGAGCCGGATGATATCTTGGTTCTGTGCTTTGGGGAGGGCTTGTCATGTGGATCCCAGCACCGTCTCCGACACCAAGTGATGCTCAGGGAAGTCTTTTTACCCTTCTGCACTTTATTTGTGTTATGACATGAGGACATGCCATATTCTTTTTGTGTGGGTGAGAGACTTGTTTTAGTGGTGTATTGTTAGTGTACATATACATTGAGTCTGTTGTAGTTCTGTATCTTTGTTGTTGTGTATAATTGGTTTTATTTACCTTAGAAGTAACTGACTTGGCCCAACGACGGACACTTGTCGACGAGTCTCTTGAGGGTCAAAGTCGGGTTTTGAAAAAACAAGTAGTGTAGTCCATTTAGATTTTTTTATTTTCTTTTTATTTTTAGGTAGTGTAATAATTCCTCCTTGGTTTTTCTTTTGACCGCGGTTCTTTTCCAAGGGCTTTTCTTGAATCGGGTTAGGTAGATTTTTCTTTAATATTTTAGGACCCTTAGGACTCTATTGGACTAAGATGGGTGAGGGCAAGAATGCAACCCGTAATGTACACACCTGCAAATAACTAAAACGAACTTAAGGGTGCAACGTCTAGGCTCGTTTGTAGACTCGTAATTTTATGCCTTATTCTGCACACCTTGTCTTTCTTGAACCCTCACGTGAGTGTGTTGACAAACTAATTCGGAATGAGTTACATGCCAAGTGTGTGAGAGATAATACTTGTATTCTGTGCTTGCATGCGATACCTAGAACTTGCCCTGTGTGTTTGCAAAGCGAAATAGACGTTGTTTGGCCTTAGAGGTGATTAAGGCATTTCCTTGTGTAGCCTGTATAATTATGAATCCACCTGTACATATTGCCATAGTTAACCCCTTCGATCCTGAAGCCTGTTCTTTGATAACCTTACAATAACCTACATCCCTGTGTTTGAATAGTTTGACTGTTTGAACCTGTACCTCCTAGAAGCACTTGAATCGTTAAAGAGCATATAAAAGTCAAAGTGTGAGGTAGTAATGGAGTGGGAAAAGAAAAATCAGGAAAATACTTGAATGGTGTAATGGCTGTTAAAAAAATAAAAAAATATAAAAAAATATAAAAAAAAATAAAAAAGAGAGGCCAGTTGCACCTAAAGAAAAGTGGGGGTAGCCTATGAAACAAGTGTGGAAGAATGATTGGGTTGAACATGGAAATTGGAATAAAGGGAACGATTGTATTAAAAGTGCTTAGGGAGGTTAGTCACTATATCCAAATATATCCTACCCGTCCCTTAGCCTACATTATAACCAAATAAAGACCTCTTGATCTTGGACTGAACAACTCAATTAGTAGAGTATTACACTAAGGGCAAGCTTATGGTGTATCTGTGTGGCATGTGAATGTTCTTTGCTGAGAGTGAGTGAATTCGTTCTATCTATAGTTCCTTGTTGCTTGATTTTATGTGTGTGGAACTTCTCTCAGAAATGTGATGTGAGGGCATGTGACTCAGGAAGAAAAAGCAAGTTTTCACCTCTATTTAGAGTAACTAGAGTAAGCATGAGTGTGGCATGGCATTAGAGTCTTCATTTGAGGTGTGGCTGTTGCACTGCTTAGATTGTTCTTTCATAATGGCGGGTGTGACATAAATTGGGTAATGCATCGAACGATTAGGCCTAGAAGTAAGTCCAACGAAATTAATTGATAGGTTAATTCTCTGTGGATTCGACTCTGGGGCATAAATACTCAGGTTATATTTGCAACGTCCGCATTGTCCTTTTATAAGGCATAGTTGGGCGTGACCAGTAGTCCTCGTAACAAAAAGTTTTCGTGTCTCTTTCATTTATATTTTCCAGTGCTATGTCGTCCATTTTTTTTCTTCTTTTTCTTTCAACTATCTTTTAATGGATATTTACTGATTTGAACGTTAGAAAAAACAGCCCATTCTCTGCTGATAAGTTAAGTGACATGAACCAAGACATTTATGCTGCAATTTGAAAGAGACATTTATGCTGCAATTTGAATCTATATATATATATATATATATATATATATATATTCTATATATCAAAGTAAGGAAGAGAAGCGAAAAAGAAAACAAAGGAGAAAAATTAAATGAGATAGCAAATTTTCTTATTGGTGTAATCGATAACCGAATCGATAAGCCCCAAAAATCGATAAATCGAAATCGAAAAAATCGAAATCTTATTGAAACGATAACGATAAGCATATTTACAAATCGATAATCGATAAGTAATTATCGATAAGGGTCAAAATCAAATCGATAAATCGAATGCACACCCCTACATTTACATAACAGGAATGATCAGAAGGGAAATTCACCAAGCACATTTACATATCTGTAACAGATTTGTCATCCTTAGTACCCAACTCCGAAATATTCAAGATCTTTCCGAGATCACATCTGCCATCCAGTGGCGGAGGCAGCCAAGGGGTTCAAAAAGAAAAATTAGAAAGGTTGTAGCTAGAGGGAATAGAGCCAATGACCTTCCAAAGATTTTGAACCCCCTTGACCACTAAGCTATGCTTTTGGACTGTGTTAAAGGAATTCAAAACATAATATATAGAGGTAAAAAATAAATTTTACCTTATATATATAGTGTAATATTTTGGCGAAGGGGGATCGGGTGAACACCCTTCCGCCCCCTAAATCCGCCCCTGCTTCCATCCATTACGCATTTACAGTCATGGCCAACAAGAATCTTGTCATTTATTAGCAACGAATTGTAAAATTCCAAAAAAAAAATGAAAAAAAATTTCAAGTGAAAATGGTATTTGAAAATTAGAGTTGTGTTTGGGCATGAAAATAATTTGGGTTATTTTTGAAGTTTTGTGAGTGATCTTAGTGGAAATTTTAAAAAATAGCTTTTTGGAGTTTTTGAAATTTTCAAAAAATTTCAAAATGCATCTTCAAGTGAAAATTGAAAATTTTATGACTAAACACTGACTGCGAAATATAATTTTTCGAAAAAAAATAAAAAATTTCTTATGTCTAAACGGGCTCTTAAAGAGTTACCTATCAAATCAGCCATTATTGTCCAAACCCCTTATGGGGGAGCAGTTATTGTTATACCTGGCTATCTTTGAAGTCTCGGTAAGCGTAATATTAGTGCGAAAAGATGAAGGTACGCAATCTCCAATTTATTATTTAGTAAAACACTGCTAGATACTGTAGACATGTGATTTTTGACTCTCCCCAAGATTTTTTTCATACTTTAGCATGTAAATATTTAATTTAGGTCTAATATCGCTATTTCAACCAATTTTGACTCCTTTACTTTATTTTATTAAAAGAAAATTAAAATTACAAAAATATTTTATTTTATGTACCTTTCATAAAGTAAAATATATATATATATATACAAAAATAGTACCTTATTTTTATCTTTATATAATCTTGAAAAATACAAAAATATATAATAGTTTCATGTTTTAATATAGTTTAGTTTAATTAATTAGAATTTATTTTTTCATCATGTAGTATAGTTATTTTATATTAAAGGAGTTTAGCTATAGTTTTGAATAATAATTTTTGGAGTCTTCTTAGCCCAAAATTGAGACACAAAAAGACATGGTCCAACCCAATTACCCTTAGCCCATTCTTCCCAACCCATTAGCCCATTTAAGTGCAAGATTTAATCCTAGCCTTCTATTTCCTTCTAATCCAATGACCATCATCCTTTCCCACTTATATATAAAATACTCAATTATAGAAATCCTACCCTTAGTTTTCAATTCCTAGACCTAGACCTAGCTACACCCCAATTCCCAAAAAGACCAGCCATTTTTCCATCCTTAAAAATCTGATTTGCAAAAACCCAAAACCCCACCTCACGAGTCCGGTTAATTTCACACTATAATCGATCGATTGATTTGATTAAAAATCAGCAACCTTTTCAGTTGCGAATTTCAATTTCAACTTTTTCAATCGATCGGTTGATTTGGATTAACTATAAGTCATTAGTGGTTAAATCTCAATCAAAAGCATATGTGGAAATCAAACCCCCATCGTCCCACTATCTGCTTGTGTAGGTGATAACAATTATGATTGTGGCTAATTGGGGTTTTAAATTAGATAGATACCTCTGGCTTTGCATATGTTGTTATGCTTGTGACTAAAATGGGTAAGTGACCATTCGAAGCTCAGAAATGTGATCAGTTATCTTCTAGTGCCAATTTTTGTATGGTTTCTGATCGATTTGATATCGAACTTGAGCAGTTACGGGAACAAATCTTTATTTTGTTCTTTCTCTTCCCCTGTTTCGTTGTTCCTTTACTTCAAAATTGAAGCCAAGCTAAGGTTATTAAAATCGTCATTGTCCAGAGTGGTTTCGAGTTTTTCGGTGTCGATTCGAGGTCCCGGTTCGCACTTTCGGTGTTTCGGTCCAAGGATTGTTGCTTCGTTTAGCCCGATTGATTTGCAATTTTCAGCTTTGTTCATCAATAAAAGGTCCATTTCTCAATTTTCATTCTCATTTTAGTGTGTTATGATAGCTTGGTACGCATGTTGGTTGATTTGTGATTCTACGTTGTTTGAGTAGCATGTCTTAGTTTTCATTTAAATTGTTTTAAATATTTTTTATTTCAATTGTGATGCATGTAGTCTTGGGTTCTTGAATAAATGCTTTTAATCGGGTAGATGGAAAATTGAAATTATTTTTTTCTTGGAAAGGAATAAGAATGGACCATAAGGTGGGTTTTGGACTATAAGGAATCTGACTAAGTAATAGATCATGTTAGCTAGCCTATTTGCCCCCCAATAATATCTTGTTCATAAATTTGACATCACAACAATCTCCAAAGATTAAGAAAATAATTCAAATGTGCTAGCTTGCTTTAGGCGCGATTATTAAATGAATCATCATAGCTACGGGTTCGGTTCTTGTGACGAAGTTGTGATACGTAATTTCCAAATCGGGTGCGCATTTATGTGACCCAAATTCAAATCTCTACAATGTTAGATAAAATGTGTCGGGGACCGCAGGTGCATTTATGTGACGTGGTTCAAGACGTATTTTAGATGACGTTGAATCTTTTCCTAAAAATAATTAATCAAAAGCGGTTCTAAAGTTAAAATGCACATAGGTTTAAAAGTGTTTTCAAATCAGTTAAATAGGCCAATAATAACAGTTGAGCGACCGTGCTAGAACCACGGAACTCAGGAATGCCTAACACCTTCTTCCGGGTTAACAGAATTCCTTACCCGGATTTCTGTGTTCGCAGACTGTAATACAGAGTCAATTTTTTCCTCGATTTGGGATTTAAACCGGTGACTTGGGACACCAATAATTATCCCAAGTGGTGACTATGAATCTTTAAATAAAAATAATCCCGTTTCGATTGTCACTTTAAGTTGAAAAAAACTCCCTTATATACCCTTTCGGGGGATGTAGGTAAAAAGGAGGTGTGACAACTCTGGCGACTCTGCTAGGGATCGAACCCAGAATCTCTGGTTCAGGATTCAGAATTTGAGCTTAGATGAATTGTTATATTTGGCTTTATTTATTATATGATTTTATTACATATTTGGGCCTAATGTACTAAATGTTGCTTTTACCTCTTTGATATTATCTGAACTGTATATAAACTGCTACGAAACCCCTTTCTTCTCTCCCCCAAGGAGGGCATGCTGGTCGTGACTTCTTTATGTTAGTGTCATATCCCAAATAGAACGAGGTTCGGACAAGTTGCAAAGCCGGATGATCTTTTGGTTACCGGTACACAGCCCTCCTCGGCTTGAGTTGTCTGCTCGGGTAATCCAGGTCTAGAACAATACATCCAAGTTTTAAACCTAGAATAACTCAGCCTTATGCCGGATCCCTAGTAGGAACGCTTATCTGCATCATGTGCATTTGACTTTGGGGACTCAACACAGGGGTTGGGTCCGTCTAGGACAGGTGCACCCGAATTAAAAGACCATCCTTATACATCTTACGTGCTACTTGTGTATCTGTCTATTTCGGCTTGCATGCTGATTGGCTTATAGAATAGGGAAAGAAAATGAAAAAAATGAAAATCGAAAAAAAAGAAGAGAAAAGAAAAGAGAGTGAGAGGTAGGTATTTAAATTACCCTGAAATTCTGTTGAAATTTTGAAAAAAAAGAAAAGAAAAGTCATTTCAAAATAAGTCATATTTTCTTTTGTCCCGTCAAAACTGGGCGAACTACGCGGGTCTGATTCTCACCGGATGTGAGATACGTAGGCAAACCTTATAGGTTCCGGCCCATAATTTTCAAAAAAATCCAAAAATATTTTCCTTTACTTCCTCTTTAGAAAAGTCTTTTTTTTAGACCCCAATTTTCAAAAAATCCAAAAATATTTTTCATTACTTGCTTCTTTAGAAAGCCTTTCTTTTAGACCCTAATTGTTTTTCTTTTTTAAAAAAATATACAAAAATATTTTCTTTTAATTTCTTCCAAAAATCCAAAAATATTTTCATTCTTCTTTCAAAATTGAAAAGAAAATTCAAAATTCAAAAATATTTTGTTTTCTTTTAGAAGCATTTCTTTCATAAATTCAAAATAAAATTCCAAAAATATTTTCTTTCTTCTTTAGAAGTTTTTCTTTCGAAATTCTAGAAAAAAAAAATTCAAAAAAAAATCTCTCTTCTTTAGAAGTCTTTCTTTGCAAAAATACTGAAGAAAAATCAAAATCCAAAAATATTTCCTTTCTTCTTTATAATTCTTTCTTTCGAAAAAATAAAATAAAAAATTCAAAAAAAAAAGTTAGTTTATTTACTTTATTCATGATCTTCCCGAACTACGCAAGATCTGATTCATGTTCCCACATGATACGTAGGCAACCCACATCAGGTTCGAGCACCATTAAAAAATGAAAAAAAAATGAAAAAAATGATAATAATAAGGACCGACTGAGTCCATTCTAACATGTTTTGTTTTGAATTGTGAATAAAGTTTAGGTGGTCGGTTTGTGGTAAGCTGGAAACACAAGATCCAAGAAAAAATGATAACTGACATCGAAGTTGTTACAAGTGCTCAAGAGACTCAGGGTCAGAGGGTTCAACAAGAGTCTACTGTGTTTGAGAAAAATAGAATACTAAAACAACAAATGACCGAAATGTGTCAAGCATGGGCCAGTGATCAAGGACAGCCTCGTCATGAGTCACAATTTGCTACACAACATGAGCAGTACCACTCTCCTGAGTATCACTCGTACTCGTTTGATCTTCCTGCAAACATTGAGAAGCCTGCCCGAAAGATGGAACAAGAAGAAATGACCCAAAGAGTGAAAAGCTTAGAATAACGGTTGAAAAACATGCCAGGGTTGGCAGGTCCAAAGAGTGTTGCCTTCAAAGATCTATGCATGTTCCCCGATGTCCACTTGCCGCCTAATTTCAAGACTCCCAAATTTGAAAAGTATGATGGACATGGAAACCCCATAACCCACCTAAAAAGGTATTGCAATCAACTGAGAGGTGCGGTAAGAAATGAAGAATTGTTGATGGCTTATTTTGGGGAAAGCCTTACATGAGTAGCCTCCGAATGATTTATGGATCAAGACACGTCTCGCTGGTATGTCTGGGATGACAGGGCACAGGCTTTTGTCAATCAGTTCCAATACAACATCGACATTGCCCCAGACCGCATTTTCCTTTCAAACCTGAAAAAGAAACCAACTGAAAGTTTGGGGGAATATACCATTAAATGGAGAGAGCAAACAGCTAGAGTTAAGCCACCCATGGACGACCACGAGCTAATCACTATCTTCCTTCACGCTCAAGATCCAGATTATTTTCAAAACATGATGTCCGCAGTGGGCAAATCCTTCTCGGAAGCACTCAAAATGGGAGAAATGGTAGAGAATGGTCTTAAGACAGGCAAAATTATGAGTCAAGCAGTTTTTAAAGTCACAACTCAGGCTGTCCGGGTTGAATCTGATAATTTTGGCGACACAAATGAGAAGGTTGAAGAAATCATGATGATATCAGGGTCGAGAAGAGGTCCCAGGAGAACATCTCGAAGGTATGAGCAGCCTCCTCAAGTTTTCCATGACTCCCCTAAGCAGTATTATCCACCTTAGAACCCTCAATACTCTGTCGCTCTACCTCTGTATGTTGGCCAGCCACCAAAACACCCCAGAAGGCAAGCACCAGCACCGCAAAATCTCCACCAGCCTACACAAAATTTTCAAATGCCCTATAACCCGCATCCAAGCCAGGGGTATAGAAAGGAACAAAGGCTGAAAGATAATTTTACACCAATAGGAGAGTCCTATGCAAGCTTGTTTGAGAAATTAAAGCATTATGACATGATTGCACCTATTCCTCCAAATCATGTGGACCCACGTGCAAGAAGCTTTGACCCTTCTCAAAGGTGTGAATACCATTACAATGCCCAGGGGTACAATGTTGAAAGCTGTCGGGATTTGAAAAGAGAAATAGAAAGGATGATCCAGGAAAACCTGATTGTGATCCAAGATAGTGACACCCGGAATATCGCGCAGAATTCTTTACCTGCACGTCATGATGCACACTTTGGGGGGATGATGTCGGGTGACATGGAATATGAGAATTCTCTCGGGAACTTGCCGGCTGAAATTGGAGAAGGCCATGGTGATTCTGATGAGCAAATTTATGGCATAATGTCAAGCTTAGCAATTGAAAAGTCATTCCCTCCTCACTAGGAAGGAATCTTGGTAGTTTGTNTTCAAGGACAACCTCGTCATGAGACACAATTTGCTACACAACAAGAGCAGTACCACTCTCCTAAGTACCACTCGTACTCGTTTGATCTTCCTGCAAACATTGAGAAGCCTGCCCGAAAGATGGAACAAGAAGAAATGACCCAAAGAGTGAAAAGCTTAGAACAACGGTTGAAAAACATGCAAGGGTTGGCAGGTCAAAAGAGTGTTGCCTTCAAAGATCTATGTATGTTCACCGATGTCTACTTGTCGCCTGATTGCAAGACTCCCAAATTTGAAAAGTATGATGGACATGGAGATCCCATAGCCCACCTGAAAAGGTATTGCAATCAACTGAGAGGTATGGGAAGAAATGAAGAATTGTTGATGGCTTATTTTGGGGAAAGCCTTACGGGAGTAGCCTTCGAATGGTTTTTGGATCAAGACATATCTCGCTGGTACGTCTGGAATGACATGGCACAGGCCTTTGTCAATAAGTTCCAATACAACATCGGTATTGCCCCAGACGGCATTTCCCTTTCAAACCTGAAGAAGGAACCAAGTGAAAGTTTCAGGGAATATACCATTAAATGGAGAGAGCAAGCAGCTCGAGTTAATCCACCCATGGATGACCACGAGCTAATCACTATCTTCCTTCAAGCGCAAGAGCCAAATTACTTTAAAAACATGATGTCCGCAGTTGGCAAATTCTTCTCGGAAGCAATCAAAATGGGAGAAATGGTAGAGAATGGTTTTAAGACAGGCAAAATTATAAGTCAAGCAGTTTTTAAAATCGCAACTCAGGCTGTCCGGGTTGAATCTGATAATTTTAGCGA